CTGCTCACAGCTTACTGTGTTATAATTCATTTCTTATTTGCTTTTGTGTTTCCTTATCCCCCTCCTCCAACACTGCCATAATGGGCTCTGTGGTTAGGTGTAAAGTACCTGGCACTAATTTCATCCCGCCCTTTCTCATTACTAGAATGTGTGGAGTTTCGTTTGCTTCTGAAAATCTATTGACTGACAGTCAGCAGAATGGCTTCTGATTCTCAACAGCTAGTGAGAAACCCAGTCTGTCTGTGCCACACCAGCAGTTTTTCTTTTTTTAAAAAAACAAAAAGTTTTTACTTCATACCAGCAGTTTTTCTTTTTTTTTTTTTTGTCTTTTGTCTTTTTCTGTGTCCGGCAACGGATCACAACCCTCAGTGTTGCCCCCGTACCGGACCGGGGACCAGCAACGGGATCGCAACCCTCGGCATTGCTCCCGCGCCTCGCTCAGCCAGTGAGCGGGAACCGGTCTGCATGTGGGATCCGAACCCTCGGGCGGGAGCGCCACCACGCTTCCCAAGCAGCGCACTTATCCAGTGCGCCACCGGGCCGGCCCATACCAGCAGTTTTTCTAATAGCAAAGTTCCAGTGTGCATTGAGTTTACATGAAGTGATGGGAAAAATCCCTATTTGCCTCATTTTAAAGAAGAATTTGTAGGTAACATTTATTTGTTTCTCAAGAGTCTAATAAGGGTCTGCTGGGTGCCACCCTTTGTGCTTGGCACGAGAGACACAGGAACAATTGAGTGCGTGGTCCCTGGCACTCAGGGGCTAGGGTTCGCACGGGGGGCTCACGTGTTCCTCACTAAATGTAGTTTTCTATGGAAGTTAACCTGTGGAGGCACCTCAGGACTGACGTTGTAGAGAAACTTTTATATGAGGGAAATTGTTTTGTAATCCCCTTAGAAAAAACAGAAGCTGTTCTCTGGTTAAAAACTAAAGGAAGTCGAAGTGTCCCCATTGACCAGAGCAAAATTATCTTAGGCAAATCCCTGCCTATCTTTGCGTCTGCACTGTAGGTCATTTTTCATTTTTCTGGCAAAAGAAAAAAGGGGGCTTGAGTTTTGGGCTTATAATTTCAGCATTTAGGGTGACAGAACTACAAGACCAGTGTATGAGAAGAGATTCTCGGCAGTGTAGTCTGTAGTTTTTGCTAGGTTATTGGAGACTTGGAATTATTGGAGCAAATTGATTGTAACTTGAGAAACTCAGAAGGAAAAGGCAGTTGGTGGGTCTGCTGGCTGAAAGGGACTTTACAGATCAGTTAATGAAGTTAAGGGGTTTTAAGTTCCTTCAGGCACCTCTTTTTAAAGCTTGCAGAAACTGCAGGCCCTCCTCCCAGAAAAATGTACTTATGTGCATGAGCACAAAATTTTTTATATGCCCCAAGTGGTTTGCAGATCCCCATTCCTAAGAACTCATAATTTGGTCCAATCCCTGGTTTCTGTGGGTAGAATTACTGAGGTTTGTGGAGGAAGGTAACCATGAGGGCCATATACTCTTGCTGGTGAACTATTCTTAAAGAAATGTTTTCTTTCTTTCAGCACTGGCTGGATCATTCCAAACCCATAAAAAAGCAGATGAAAAGTAAGTATGCAGAGTTTAGCCTACTCATTTCTTTCTTTTATCTGAGAGTAAACTCCTTTGCCAATGTTTTAAGGTGTTATGTTTTCATTAGAACTTGGAAGCATTTTTAAATCGATTCAACGTTAAGTGGATGATTTTTAATTTCTTAAGGCTGGCCAAAGTTAGAGTTTAAAATTTGAAGAAGAGATTTTAGTAGATATTGAAAAACCGACTACACTCTCATTTGAAACCAGACGCCTCTGCCAATGAGAGCTGATTAATATACTATTCAGAAACACGACTTCACACCTTTTATATTTACTTCCTAATGAGTTACAAGGTAGACTCAGAATGGGAAAGTAGGAGGGATCTTTGGTAGTCTGGTCCGGCTCCTTCATTTTACGGGTGTGGTAACCACAGTTCTTCAATGTTGCTTATGCTTAGGTAATTTTTAAAAATTTATATTCTCTTAAAAGTACTTTAAGATGTTTTCACTGGATTTTTCAATGACAGAACACTTTGCTATTTATGCATGACTTTTCTCTAGCCCACTTTGTACTTTGTAAAAAGTAGGTGTCCATTTAGAGTATGTTGGCATTAGCAGTGAAAGTAAAATGTCAGTTCTTAGTAAAACGTCAGCTCTTAATTCAGCTAGATCATTAGGATTTTCTTCCAGAATGAGGTTACTAGTTAAACCGTCTTAGTCAACACAAGTCTATTTCAGTTTTCCAAATTTAGGATTGAAAAGAATTTACTAGGGGCCAGCCCAGTGGCGCACTGCTACAGTGCGCCGCTTGGGAGCGCAGTGGCGCTCCCGCC